TTGAAATAAATTTCCATAATTTATCTCTTCTTTAGATTTCTGTTAGAAGAAGATATTTTTCTTCTAGAATACTTTGCAATATTTCAACTTCTCGGAGAGCGTCTTCTCGATCCATATCAGAAGAAGAAATTATATTTTTCGCCAAATCTAAAGATTTGTTGGTAACTGTCAGACATATTGGCTAATGTTATATTAATACAAATGTAAACCGTGAGAAATTTTCTAAAATAGAGTTTTTCTCTGAATAATGACTATGAAAAATAATATAACAACATTTTAACTTTAAAAAACAATCACATCGAATAGGATGAATATAGAAGAGACTGCAAAGCTAAACAAGTTATCTTTAATGATAAACAATCATAATTATTTTCAATAATTAATATTTGAAAAAGTTATAGACAAATCTATTAAAACAGTTTCTTTTAAGTATAATGAATGGATAAAAATTTTGCGACACTTCCATTTTTGTATATATCTCTACTCAGGAACATGATAGAAAGCTAGTTTGTTTTCAAAAGATACACTATGATGTTTGCTGTTATGCTATTTTTCTAGTATGAAATATCTGAAAAATCGAGAAACTACGATTTTAAAGTATGGAAAAACTAAGGTTACTGTTCCAGATGACATTCTAAATGGCAATTCTGAACAAGTCAATGCAACAATAAGTACAAGATAAAAGCGTTGTTGATAAGTTATCCACCAACTGTGCTTATATCTCTTTGATACTTTCTTGTCATAATCAATCCAATCGAATGTGTCACAGTATTGCTCTGTCCATTGTATCGTTTATCTCATCTGTTCTTTTAGTTGGTTTGTGAATCTTTAGACTAAGTTTATCATTATAGGCATACAATCTAATAATCGATGGAACGAAATCATTGCTTGTTGACATGTATTTATGACTAACACCAACGGAAATACTTTTTCACAAGATGTTGCATTAAAATGAATAGACACAAACTTCTTGCACTTAAAGTAAGAACAGATAAGTACTTCTGTGTTTCTGATGCTTTACTATAGTTTCATTTTATTTCAGATGTTTTATTACAGAATGAATGGACTATAAGAAGTATATTCTCATGTACAACTTTCCATACTATCTGAGATTTTTCATAATGGAAAGTAGCACGACAACAGACATATTCACTTTTACAGACTGGTTAAAATATCTAAAACAATTATTAAAGGTTCATTTCGTCATTCTGACTGATTAGTTCACAGATCAAATAATCATGCGGCAAAATCGTACGTCTAATCTTCTGCGATTCTATCAAATTTGACGAAATCATAGAAAGAAAGTCGTGCTCTCTTGATTTGTTTTATCCAGTTAAAATAATGAAAAGAAAATTGAAAGAAAGATTAAAGTTTTAGGAGGAAACAGTATTCATGTTTTATTTTCATTCATTTATATCAATCAAAGCAAACTGGAACATGTGTTGATTGAGTGATTCAATATATGTGCATTCTAAACTGTCTATGACGAGATTAGAAAAGTATATTTTGTGACTCTGATAAGAACCTAATTAGAATGAAGAAGATTGAAGTTAAAATGAAAAAATCTTCCTGCTACCAATGTCTAATGAGTTGAAATAATATTAAGAATCTTTTGAATAGCTTCGAATGATTAAGATTGCGTATTTTTTTTATTATGGATTTCTTCACACTATGTGTGGTAAGATGTTAGTTTTATTTATTTGCCGGACGAAAAATGTTATTCATTGATCATTTAGAATATTTCATGTTCTTCAAAACAAAAAAAGTGATTGAACGACGAGAAAAATATTTTTTTTCCAACTCCTATAGTTATGCAGATGATCAAAGGTCTCAAACATTCCGGAAAGCATACTGAAAGTAGGGGTGTTACTTTCTATTTACTGTATGAAATAAAGATAACGATAAAATAAATAATAATGAATTTTTTTTTCTATGAAAATCTAATATTTTATTATCTCCAGATAATTCAGAAAAAATAATAGCATCATAGATGCAAAAAAGGATATAGGACAAGAGTTTTTTGCATAAATCTTTTCATATATCATCCTCATTTTTTACTAATGTTTCATATTGAAGTGTTGTTGTTGGTACGGAAGAACTCTGATCAATATATTCTGTTGTTATTTTATTAGCCGTATGAGGATGAGAGTTTAACGGATCAATGAAAAAACTGAAGACATCAAGTTCGTGTTTAGTAATTTTTGCTCCTAATTGTTGGCCTCGATCAAGTGAATCACTTTCAAAGTTGGTCACAGTTATTTCGAGTTCTTTTTCTACTAACGATTCAGTTGTATCAGTCCCATATAGTTTATGTTGAGCAAGTATATCACCATATTGTTTAAGATATTCAATTAGTTCTGCTTTTTTATTATTGTGAGCAACAAGAATGATTCGTTTGCATTCACTCATAGCAATGGCTGTCGTCATTTTCTGAAAATAACCAGAATAATATCGTTAATTATTGTATTTCTTCAAGCAAAGTGCAGAGGTCTTATTAAAAACTCCAGTTCTCCAGTTTATTGGGAATTGTATTCAACAATCTAGCTTCTAATTCTCAATATTAATTCTTTAGTTTCTAAAGATATCGTTAAGTTTCAATTATGTCGTCTGACGAGAGAACTTCATCAACTAATTAAAAGCTTTAGAATTCATATTTTGCTAGTCAATAGAACTGAGTAGGACTATAAAAGCTTCAAGAAGATTGTCGTTCATAAGCATTTCTTCCGGAGTTATGACTGTTTTCCTGTAATTTTGTTCTACAGTAAAATTTTTAGCGAATGATAGGATTAAGAAATTTCTGTCTGAAATTTTTGCCTATAAAAGGGTCTCATGCACCTTAAAATATTCTAAAAGTTTTAGCCAAAATGCTTGTTTTCTGTTGGACATACTTGATGTCCACAAAACCATCATACCTCACAAAACAAGTCGGAAGATCGATCCTTCTTCGAAGTTTGATATCTCAAACAAAAAAGCAAGCATTTGGGCTAAAACTTTTAGGACATTCTAAGGATTATGAGACCCTTTCATGAGCAAAGTTTCAAACAGAAATTTCTTAATCCAATCGTTCACTATAAATTTTACTGTAGGGTAAACTTACAGGAAAACAGTCATAGCTTCGGAAGAAATGCTTATGAGCGATAATCTTCTTAAAGCTTTTAATCAGTTGGTTGGGTTCCCTCGTTAGAGAATCAAATCTTTCTTCAAGGTTCGCATTAGTTACATACTAAAAATAAATTAAATGAAATCGATACAGTGGCACAGTTGAATTTTACTTGATAATAATCAATCATTTGACTGTGATTATAAAATGTACAAATCTTTCCTTTGACTTGATTCTATAGGTAAGATTGATAATTCCAGTGGTGCAGATTGTAAATAGAAAATATACTGAACTACCTCTATTAAAATTTGAGAACGTTGAAACCGAAAAATGTTGTTGTCTTAATCTGCAATTATTTTCTATGAAAGAAAGATAGTAAATGAATATAGAATAAGTAGTTGTGTGCAAGACAAATGAAATATGCAGTGACGACATGACAGAATGATGCTACACGCTGCTTGCTACATTTTTATGCCGTCATTGTCTACATAAACCGATAGCTATTGGCTTACTCATACAACCAGATAGGCTGACAAACAATGGTATGAAAGAGACAAAACTCATACGAAAATGTTTTAAAACAATTGCCGATCTTCTTTTCTTCGATTCCGTGTCCTTATGCATTGAAACAGAAGTGAAGACTGGGATGGAGTATATAAAACTTATCCATGGAGTTGTTAATGACGTCAAAACATACGCACAGAGAGGATGATTAAAATATATGACAAATAGTCTAAACTCGAAGATCGACAGCACTACGCTATACTAACGCGTTAATTCTTAGTTCGATGCTTCTTTTCTTTTCTCCTCAATTACCATATAAATCTAAATTGCCAACTTGATCCGATCCGTCCATATAAGATTGAACCAGGATAAAAGGTCGAATTGTTACATTTGGAAGATCGAATGTTGATGAATTGTTTCATCTATTCTAATAGTTTAACAAACGCTAGAATACAACGTCAAATTAGTATTAGAGATTTTTCATGTATATAATCTTTATCTCTTACTAAATGAATAATAAAAATCCAGATAAAGAAACAAACTAGGTTAAGTTATTTGACTATTTTATTTTCCTTGGATTTTTTCAAAGAATAGTCTCAAAACTCATCGATCGAATCTCTCCATTTAGTGAAGAAAAAAGAAAACTAAAAAACCGCTAATTTCATTGAATATTTTTACACGGAAATATTGCATCGAAGTTTGGAAAAGAACTTTATTTCAAAGACAAACTTCTCTCAAATACTAAAAAGATTGCGACACCTGCCTTGTATATATTCGTGTCTGTAGTATTCAATATAACTTAACAAATGATACTATTTATATGGACAAAAAAAATCTTTGGATCAACAAGAAAATAGACCTGCATGAGAATGTTCAAATGAACAAAAAAACGATAGAATTGAATAAAAATGTTTATATCACCCAAGAGCAACAATCATTAAATCAAGAAGAAAAAAAAGATCTGAATGTGAGTGTTTATGTGGAGAAAAAAAGCAGGTCTTTAGATAAACAAAAATAGACGTGATCGATTATCATGATGTCAATGAAATAAAAAGATTAATCTCTAATTTTCAGGTTAGATCAATCCCAAGTTGGTTAAGGCACTCTTGAAGTCTTCGAGAATTGTCATTGTATCAATTATTTCCCTAAATGAAAAGAAGAATTTGTTTTAAAATCAAAGTAGCGAAAGAAAAATACTTGTTTTGGTTATATTGATATGTCTGTTGTATAATACTTTTACTTGTTTGAATTTTCCGGTGCTATCTATTGTCTAAAAAGAATGCAACAATAACTATGAGCAAAAAATGATTCTGACAATATCGACATACTTCGAAAAGAATGATCAGATCATCCATTCTAGGATTGATGACCAATTGAAGTACATTATTTTTTCATTGGTGAATAAAGTGGTCGATTTGGTCGTTTTCCAATATTCAACTATATCACAATCCTAGTTTCAAAAATAAGCAAATTTTATTTAAAGAAGAATGCTATTTTATTTTATTTTATTATTTGATAACTTGAATTTGAGATATTTCAGATGCCAAATAAGAAGAAACTTAATCATGTCGGAATTATTTTCCATTTGGTGTTTATATTTTTCGAAAGCATCTTTGAAGCCAATGTCGTTTTGACTAGTAGCCATTTGAAAAAAAAGAAAAGTATAAATCAAATAGTTGATTAAAATGTTTAAATGTATAAACTGAAACAAATAGATTCGCTTCATGCGAAAACGATGAATCGATTAATGGAAAGGTCGATGTTATACAACATTTCAAATGGTCCTTTCTGTTTTCATTAACATCTATTGAAAACAAGAATTTATTGATTCGTAAAGAATACAAAACCAATTATATCATCACTTTCTACGTATTCGTTCAAGTTTGTCAAATAAAATCTTTGACTGCTTTTTATTTTGATAGAATATTTTTATGACCGATTAATATCAAACCGTTTACAGCGAGTGTTATTTTTTATAAAAAATTTGACGTTGGATATCTTAGGTCACGATTCGAGTTTTTTCCGAAAGGATTCGCTCCACTCAGCACTCCAACTTCGAGACCCAACGCTCCAAGTAGATCTTGATGAGCTCTATCAGATGCACACCTTACTTTTGCGAACAAGAACTTTGACTAGCCTAGAAACCTGAAAAACCGCGAAAAATTGCAGCAAAAATTAACAAATTTTCATAAAACTCGTCATGATTCGCACAGATTAGCGCTCCAATCTGGAAATTTAGCTCTCCAATCAGATACATCATTCACCGGATTCAGTAATATGGTACCTGCAAAAATTGCTAATTATTGCTAAAACTAGTGGTTTTTCACAATAAAAGCTGTGACGATTCGCCTAGAACAGCGCTCCAAGTTAAAGAGTAAGTCATGTCGATAGATCCTGACGAGCTCTATCCAATGCATGTATCATTAGCAGGATTCAACCATTTCATGTCTGAGAAAAATGCTAATTATTGGTAGTGCTAAGTACTCAAGAAATCCTGTCTAAATCCCACTAAAACCAATCTCCAAGTGCAAAATATAGGTTTTACAGCAGATTCCTATGAGCACTACCCAATCCACACACCATCGACCCCAGATGAGGGTGTGAGCGTACATATTGCTAGTCTCTACAATTACCTGGGGCGTTGGAACCCTAGCGACATCTACGCTCACACAATCATCTAGGGTCGCTGGTGTGTGGGTTGGGTAGAACTCATAGAAATCTGTTATAAAAGCTATGCTTTAGGCTTGGAGATTGGTTTTAGTGGGATTTAGATAGGTTTTCCTGAGTACTTAGCACTACCAGTAATTAGCATTTTTCTCAGACATCAAATGGTTGAATTCTGCTAATGATACATGCATTGGATAGAGCTCGTCAAGATCTATCGTCATGATTTACTCTCCAACTTGGAGCGCTGTTCTAGGCGAATCGTCACAGCTTTTATTGTGAAAAACCACTAGTTTTAGCAATAATTAGCAATTTTTGCAGGTACCATATTGCTGAATCCGGTGAATGATGTAT